TTGAAATCTGGCTACCATCAAATTCTAATGAAGGAGGGTGATGACTGGAAGACTGCTTTCAAAATGAAACATGGTTTATATGCATAGTTAGTTATGCCTTTTGGATTAAGTAATGCACCTAGTACTTTCATGCGATTAATGAACCATGTTTGAGGACATTCATTGGAAAATTCGTGGTAGTGTACTTCGATGATATATTGATCTATTCTAAATCCGTGAATGATCATGTTGATCATATTAATTTGTTTTTGACTACCCTTAGAAAGGAAAAATTATTCGCTAATCTTAAGAAGTGTTCTTTTGAACTTTGAATTTGGTGTTTTTGGGTTTTGTGGTAAGTTATGAGAGAATCAAGGTCGACAAAGAGAAGATTGAGGCCATAAAGGCTTGGCCTACACCCACCAATGTAAACGAAGTCAGAAGTTTTCATGGTCTTGTTCGGTTCTATAGGAGGTCTGTGGAGGATTTCAGCACCATTGATGCTCCTTTAACGACAACCATCAAGAAGAATATGTTATTCTTTTGTGAAAATCTCAAAAGGAAGACTTCAAGCTTCTTAAGCATGAACTAACTCATACTCTTGTTTTGATGTTGCCTGACTTCTCAAAAACCTTTGAAATAGAGTGTGATGTTATTAGTGTAGGAATTGGTGTGTTTTGAGGTAGGAGAAGAGGCTAATCGCTTAGTTTAGCGAGACATTGAGTGTTCTGCCTTGAACTATCCCACGTATGAAAAAAAGCTATGTGTTTTGGTTTGAGGTATGAAGAAGTTGTAGCACTACCTTTGGCCCAAGGAATTCGTGATCCAAACTTATCATGAATAGTTGAAGTACTTGAAGGCCCAACATAAACTGACCAAAAGGCATGCTCGAAGGGTGAATTTCATTGAGTCCTTTCCCTGTGTGATCTGGTACAAGCAATGTAAGGAGAATGTAGTTGCTTATGCCCTTTCTCGAAGGTATGCTTTAATCTCATCTCTTGATGCTAGATTTATTGTATTCGAGCACATTAAATAGTTATATGTCATTGATCTTGATTTTGGTAAGATTTTTTAAGGCATGTGAGAAACATGGAGAAGGGAACTATTATCGAGATGATGGATACTTGTTTCGTGCTAACCAATTTTGTGTGTTGCATGCTTCAATTCGAGTTATTGGTTAGAGAAGCTCAGGTGGCAGTCTTATGGCTCATTTTGGGGTGTCTAAGACTTTGGATTGCATACAAGAACACTTTCATTGGCCACACATGAGAAGTGATGTAGAGAAGGTGTGTGCAAGGTGTCTTAAGTGACGCCAAACCAAATTGAAAGTGCAACCAACTGGGTTATATATTCCTACTACTCCTTGGATTGATAACTCTATGGATTTTTGTTCTTGGATTGACTAGGAGCAAACGTGGTAGGGATTCTATGTTTGTTGTGGTTGATCATTTTTCGAAGATGGCACATTTTGTACCAAGTCATAAAAATGACGATGCATCTAATGTACCCGAGCTATTCATTAGAAAAGTCGTTAGGTTGTATGGAATGCCTCATATCATTGTTTGTGATTGTGATGCCAAGTTTTTTATTAACTTCTGGAGAACTTTGTGGAGTAGGCTAGGAACAAAGTTTTTATTTTCTACTACATGCCATCCTCAAACGGATGGGCAAACTGAAGTGGTCAATAGGACTTTGTCTCAAATGTTTAGAGGTGTAATTCAAAGTAATATCAAAATATGGAATAAGGCTTGCCTCATGTAGAGTTTGCATATAATAGGGGTGTTCATTCTACTACTAAGTATTCACCATTTGAGATTGTGTATGAATTTAATCCTTTAACCCCATTGGATTTGTCTCCCTACCTTTCTATGAGCATGTTAACTTAGATGGTGCAAAGAAGGAAGAGTTTGTTCGAAACTTGCATGAGAAGGCACAAATGAACATCGAAAGGTGAATTGAGTAGATTTTGAGGAATGGGAACAAGCATCGACGACCTCAAAGGTTCGATCCAGGAGATTGAGTCTGGGTGCACATGAGGAAGGAACATATTCCCTGCAAAGAGGTTCTAGATTGGTGCCTCGTGGAGATGGTTCATTTCAATTCGTCGCACGCATCAACGACAATGCTTACAAGCTCGATATACCAGGGGAGTATAGTGTTAGAGCTACTTTCAACGTTTGTGATTTGGCTCCTTTCCTTGAAGACAATTCAGATTTGAGGGCAAATCCTTATCAAGTAGAGAGGAATGATGAGGCCATCAACACCAAAAAATTTACAACCCCAATACTGGTGCGAGAGGAGGCTGCCCAAAGTGAAGATCCAATCACTCGAAGTCAAACCAAAGCATTTAAAGCACAACTGCCAGCTTATTTGGCTAAGAGTTTGGCATTATTGGAGCTTGAATTGTTCTTTAAAAGCCTCTCATAGCTCCTTACACTCTCTAATTGCACTTGTGAATCAGACTGATCTAACAGTCTCTCATAAAATGTCAGTGTGATTTACCTCATCTCCTCAACATTTGTCACTATTATCCCTTCCTCGTCTAGGAGTGATCTCACTATGTTCAGCTTCAACCTAGTTTTCATAGATCTACGGAAGTACGATGAATTCAAATTCCTACTTTTCAGCCAGAGCTCGCATGATTTATGTCTAAGGAATGATTTCTCAACACGTTTCTGTTGCTGAAACTCGTTTACTATTTTACTCTGTCCTCTTCAAAGATAATCCTAGATGGGTGAGTAAGAGCATTTTGTTGAGCTCTTATAACCTCTTGCTCCTTCAGTTTAACTTGCACTTGTATATCCAAATACGCTTCCCTATTTAACTTTTGAAGATTACCCTTTAAGAGCCTAAATTTCTTGCATACCATAACCAAACTGGATTTCTATTTAACGCCCTAATTTTTTAAAATTTACGCCCTAAACTTACCTAAACAGACGGTTATACCCTCAATCTCTTAAAAACCGTCGCCACCAATCAACAAAACGGTCGCCCTCATCGCCCTAATTTTGCTCTGCTTGGGCCGGCCGCCGAGAAATCATTACCGACGCCGCATCTTGATTTCGGAAAATTCCCGAGATAGAAGTGAGGAGCCCCTTCGCTGTCCACCCCATTAACCCCGATGCCATTGGCTGCCAACCTTCGACTCAATCACTAGTACAGAACCACCGCTGCTCCGGCGTCGGTCTCCATTACCCTCGCCAACATCTAAATATGAGAGAGCAAAACAAAATCCCCTCCCCCAATTGTCGCTTTTAGGAAGTTGAGGGGATAATGATAATTGATGACAGAAACTCAAAAAATGATTAAAGAGAAAGGAAGCCTTGCCATCTCCGACGGGGCATGCTTTCTTTTCTTCTTCATCGGCTGCAGCAGCAGAGTACCGGCGGGCGGAGCAGAGCAAGAGTCACGACCGATGTAGGGCGATGGCAATTTTGATTAGGGGCAAACGTGTAATTGCAATTTAATTTAGGGCGATGGTTTTTGAATTTTAGGGCGTTAATTAGTAACTCTCTAACCAAAAGGGACCTTTTTTTTCCCCCTCTTCCATGCCTCTTTAACCAAGCTCATAAATTGTGGATGATGTGCCCAAAATCGAAAGAATTTAAATGGTTAAGGCCTTAATGGTGATACTTCATATCAGTATCTGTAGTCACCAAGATAGAGCAATTATTAGAAATAAGAGGCTCAAACAATGTTACTTCATTTTTAGGCCTTTTATCTAGCCAACAAAAGTTTATAAATGCCCTGTATAGCCTCTAACTATAGGGTTTATAGCCTGCTTATTAATCCACGTGAATCATGGCCCTTTGCAACATGCTCTTTCAATTCCAAATCAACCAACCATTGTTTAAAATCTAGCATACTAACAGTAAACTCATGACAGTTTGAAGCTTCTTTGGGATCTGCAATCACATTAAAGTCCCTTGAGATGAGCCAAGGAATCTGAGTAATGTGACCGAATCGCATCAAACATAGCACTTCTGCTACTATCATCATTCGACCCATTCATAAAACTGACAAAAAATAAATAAATACGGACCTCCAACCAGTGGATCAATATACTGATCAACGCTACTTTTGATTTCAAAATTTTCCAAACAACAAAAAAGAAATATTCGATTTTCATATACCATCTCTCACCAAGAAAAATTACTTTGACCAATTAATTAGTTATGAATTATTTTAGGAGTTAAAAGATAAAAATTACTTTTACTATACATGTTCATACTATGGTCCGATTTTTTTTGGGTAGAATACTATGGTCCGATTATTGCAACATAGGTAATTTCCTCAATAAATGGAATTTCAATTGTGGATGGATCACATTATCACCAACTACAATATCCGACTCTGCCAAATCTGATATAACATTTAATGTGCAATAGTTATATCAGCTCTAGGATAACCCTACTACTACTCATCGAAAGGGGATTGCATAGTATTTTGAGATACCTAAAGAGGAGTCTAAATCAAGGCTTTTGGTTCTCTTCCAAATCCACACTCACTTTGAGAGGTTGCAATGACTCATATTGGCTACCTGTCCTGATACGAGGAAGTTGAGTGACAATATATTATATTTTCCTAAGTAGTTCTTTGATTACATGGAAGAGTAAGAAGCAAATAATAGTGACCCACTCTTCTTCAGAAGGATAATATAAGGAAGTTGCACAAATATCCTATGAAATACAATTGTTAAAGTCAGTGATGAGATTCCAATCTTTCACAAACGCACAAAGCATATTAATGTGGATTGTCATGTGATTCGTGAGAGAATGAAATCAAGACGGTTAATTCTCCATCAAGTCAAAATTTGTTAATTAGTTGAAGAGCATATGAAGAACCGAGAAGAACTTGATAGAGCTTCCTTTCACTCCGAACTAGTATGACAGAGATGCATCGAACCGCTTCGTGTTTGGTTTAAGTGGTATTAGTAACCGCAAGGAAGAACGAAACCGTACTAGATTAGTGATACTTATTTGTAACTAACTAGTCTCATTGTCACTTGGCATCTAACAATTGGTTAGTTTAATATTATAATTTGGCTACCATTGTGTAAACCAATTTACAGTTTTATTTAGGGCTGGCAGTTTGATTTCTGGTTAGCGGATAACCGTCGGTTACAAACGAACCAATCGGTTTTCGGCTAACAGAAAATCGAGGCCAAGATACTTCGGTCGGTGCTCAGAGGAGAATAAGAAGTTTCGGTTAACCGAGTAACCGACAATTATTAACCGCGGTTATCCGAAAAAATTGACCCAAATCGACCAACCCTCATATATTGCCCTCCCTAAAAAAAAGACAGATAAAACCCTTAACCCCACTCTGATACCCTATAATCCCCTCAGACCCTCACCCTAACCCTAACCCTAACGGCCGCCGCCCTTCTCCCTTCCTCGTCGCCTCACGACCGGCGCCTTCCTTCATTTCTCGTCGCCATGCAGATACTTCCTCGTCGCGTCGCACCCGTCTAGATCCCTTCCTCGCCACTGCCCAGATCCCTTCCTCATCGCGTCGCCTTGCGCCACCGCCTCCATCCTTTCTCTTCCCCGTCCATCCGTCGTCGCCATCCCCGAGCAGATGAACCGCTACCGCAAAAGACTGAAAGAGAGAAGGAGAAGAAAAATGGTCTTTGTCCGTGAGTTAAGAGAAGAACAACGGAGAGAGAGGGGAATTAAGTTTGGCTGAGAAAAAGAGAAAAAAGAAATTGGTTTTGGCTGGGAGAGAGAGGAGAGAAGAAGAGGCTTTGAGGGTAGCAGAGGCAAGGCAGAGAGAGGGGAGAAGAAAAGACGTTCGCTTTTTTTTGGGTGAGGAGAGAAGAAGAAGATAAAGACGGAAACGTGTGGTGTGGTTTCTTTTTTCTATTTATTTATTATTTAATTTTTTTGTATTTAATTCGGCTAACCACAGTTATAATCGATAACCGACCGGTCGGTTAGACGGTGCCGGTCGGTGTTTGATAATGCTAGGGGGTCACTCGGTTTAACCAAAATCTAACTTTCTGGTTTTTCGGTTAAACCGAAACCGATCGACTAACAGCACTAGTTTAATTGTATATATATGTGACAAAAAGCAAAGAGGAATGACATACTGTGAAATTTTCACAATTCTAGTTGTGTCGGCTTATCTTCTTTTTCCTTCTCTCAAACCCAAACCTTCTACCGAGTTAGGTTTCAAGCTTTCTCGCCAAATCATCACTACAATGAGGATAATTAACGTTTTCTCTATCTAATGAGATGATAATTTCTTCATTTTTCTTTCATTAGCCAACACATATATAGATACCCAACACATCATACAAACACCACCCGATGTTAATATAAAAATGTTGTCTCATAGATATTTTAATTTCAATTTGTTATGAATAATAATGAAAGAATTGGCTAATTTCTGTACATTTTACATGTAACCATAACCTTCTCTTTCTTTTTTCCTCCTCTAATTTTTTTTTTTAATATTCTCATTTTAGGGTCTTCAAATGGTGTGATTAGAACACTTGTTCTCCTGTAGCATATAAATTATAAAATAAAGCAGTAACAAAGTATAACCCTGCTGTAACCGTGAGGAATGCCTGGAAAGATCCCAACCACTGCACAAAATACCCTGTCCCAATGGTGCTCACTATTGCTGCCAATGTTCCAGCTGAGTTGCACATTCCTGCAATAATTCCTTAAATGAGCCATAATCCTCAATATAAGCCATAAATAGAGTTCTCTAAAACAAAGTCAGGCATTCGTTAAGAATAGAAACTCACCATGAAGAAACCCTGCACATCCCGGTGCTATGTCCTGATCAAATGAAGTTTAAGTTTGTCACCAACGTAAATACCATTTTAACTGTGAATAAGTCTAATCGAAACCATCACGAAAACCTTACTTGGATGTTGAGTAGAAAACCGGCTTGGCTGAAAGAGCTCAAGCTAAGGGCAGCTGTGATGAAGACAGATGCAGTGGTTGGTGTATTGGCATAGTTGAGGCAAAGAAGTGCTAAGCCAGGTCCAATGAAACCAATTGACTGTGTGAAAAATAAACAAACATATCACATAATCAATCAGTATCTAATATAATAAGCTCTCCTTCTAGATCTCTTTCATTCCAAAACCTTCTTTCTAGTTGAGTTGAGATAATCACCTGCATGATTTTCCTAACTAAAGTTACAGAATACCCAACTTTGATAAGTCGATCTGACGCTGCTCCTGCTAGGTAGCCTGAAAATGCCATGGTCCCCCATGGAACAGCACTGAACCAAGCAGCTTGTTGTAGGTTCACGTTGAACACCTGCAAATGCCAAAACCCAACTCAAACAATGTCCAACGTTCCTCCACTCATACCCATTGACGCCAATGTAGAATGAAGAATGAACGACTAAGTACTAACCGTCTTGAAGTAGACAGGCATCCATGAGAGAAGAACAAAGTATCCCTGTGACATAATGTAAGACAATGTCAAAAGGCAGAGAGCTCTTACGAATTAAACAAACTATTTGGAACACAGATTCGTACTAATCATCTTATTCGCGAAACTAACCCAATTGTTGGTCACATTGGCAAGGATGATTGCCCATGAGGGCAACTTTGACAGCAACTGGCCCAGTGATGGACGTTGGCTGCTGCTACTACTACTACTATCGGCTGATGAGTTGGTTTTACCAGCTTGGATCAGCTTCAACTCTGTCCTACTCATGAAACGACTATCTTTCGGGTCATTGGTTACCCGACCCGCCCACGTTGCTACCCAAACCAACCCTAGAGACGAGAACAGAACAAAAGGGCCAGAGATTCCAACAGTGGACAACATAATGGGAGTTAGCAGTAGCCCTACAACATTGCCGAGATGAAACCCAGCCATTGAGATCCCAACGGCAGTCGCGCGTTCATTGCTCGGGAACCACCTACGACAATCCGACACAATCAGAATGAGCAGATAATAAGATTCGAGCCCCCAATTGTTTTTTTTTTTTTTTAATAATCATGTTACCTGGACAAGAGGGTGGTCATGGAAGGAAGAGCGACGCCTTCGGCAAGCCCGAAGAAGGCTCGAACTGCTAAAAGACTGAGGGTCGAATGATTGGCGGCCAATGGAGTTAGGACGGTGGCTAAAGACCATAAGGCGACTCCCCAAGCCAGCACTTTCTTCCCTCCGTATTTGTCCACTAATGCTCCTCCAATTAGCGACGAGAATATATAACCCCATAGAAACGACGACTGTGGACATCAAACAATTTAACTCAATCAATAACCCAATGGAAGGGTTGGTCGACAACTGGACAAGCCAAGTTTAGTTACACGGTGCCATAAACTAGTTGGTCCCAATAACTCGAGTTATTAGCAGAATGTTATGTTGGATCTTATAGTATTCTCTAATACGTCCGCTCAAACGAAAGTCAACTCACAGGCTTAAAGTTTAACAGACTCACCATACCTTGTGCTTTAATCAACTGTTAATATTAGGGGTCGTGGAGATTCGAACACATGACCACTTTGGCCAAACCAAACTCTAATACCATATCATAAACTAGCTAGTTGGTCCCAATAATTCGAGTTATTGTTGGATCTTATAGCATTCTCTAGTACACAGGTTAAATGTTGATTAATGTTTTCTTTTTAACTAGGTATATTTTTTATGTTGAAAATTTTGAACGGGTAGTTTGGAGGGAAATATGAAGGAGAACAAACAAAATTACTATTAATACTAGCTTTGTGACCTGCCCAACGACTTTATAGTTTTATTATTAATAATTATTTAACAACATAATTAAAAAATTCAGCTAGTTAATATTTTATGTTGATTGAATTTATATAGAATAAAAATCTTGTGCTTCTAATACATAATATGAGACCCATAGTAGTTTCATATAAATTTTGAGACAATATCAACGAAATTTTCCACTTAAGATGTTGCGTTCTCAATCAATAAATTTTGAAAACTAACATAAGAACTTTTATACACGTTGCTTTATCAGGGTAGTTAGCTATCAATGACCAATTAATTCATATTTTTTGCTACTTGATTTTGTACTCATTTATTAATCTCCTATTGATCTCCAACAACTTTTGAGCTTCTACTTCGTTCATAACTATTCCTTGAAGTTATTGTACTTATGATAATATCTATTTCTCAACTAAGACCAAAATCCTCACAAAAATTGATCCAATTTTGAGAAGGAATTAATATCTATTTGGTTGAAGTTAAGTATGACCTCTACACGTCTATTTATTTTAAAAATATAAACTAAACCTTTGTCGCATCAACCAGAGCCGCCCCTGTGGGTGTGCGAGGAGACCTTTCGGCACAGGGCCTCCAGTCAAAGGCCTCAATCTTAGGTTCTCCATTGTGTATAATACTAAATATTTTTATGAGTACTGGGTCTGAATTATAAATTAAAAAATAGAAAATTAATATATTTGGCTTTGATTATATGTCTAATACCAAAAACAATTAAATCCAAAGTCTAAAAGAATGAATGGAACACATGAGTAGGAATATTTGTTTCTTATTAGACTTTTTTCCAAAACATATAAGAAAGCACATCCTTTTTGCTGTTTTTCTAGAAAAAAAAAAAGAGAAGTAAGATTGTTTATGTCTCTTATTATTAATGTTAACTACAGCAAGGAACAAAGCAACAACAATAAAAAGAAAAACAAAGAGTAAATCAATTGTAAATAGTTCGTAATAAACTTAACGTTAGACTAAAAACTTATCACTTTCTCTCTTTGCTTTTTTGTTTTTACTCTTCGATTCTTCTATGTTTCTCTCTGACTCAATTAAGTTCTCATAACATATTCAGGTGATTCTAGTTAATTGATTAATTTTCAATTTATTTACTATTTAAATTCTTTAAATAATATTGTTGTAATAATTTTATTTATTGATTGAATATTAGGCTACATTTTGTTTATAAAACGTAGCTTTACGACCATGGCATCAACCATATCAAAGTTTTATGGTCAGTCACTCCATTTTAAATTATTTTATTATATTCTACTCTAAATCTTGGATTACAAATCTTCCAAAAAATATTTCAGAAATCCAGGATGGGAAATTTTGTTTAGAGTAGAGGTTGATTAATGGTGAGTTTACACCCACCGCCCAAAGTGTTAGAAAAGATAAAGTACAGCAATTATAGTTTAATAGGCCGTTACAACTAAAAGAGGTGGGAAGAAATGATCCAGTTGCGTTTTTTAGATGATTATAAAAATAATATAGAAAGTCTATAATAAATTTTTTAGATTTTTCTTTTGCCAAAATTATTATAATAAATTCTTTAGATTCAGATCAGATTTAGATTTAGATGTTTTGTCGTCAAGATGAAAGTAGGTTTGTTAGAAATCAAAAATTTGGTAACCATTTTGATTATTAATATGAAACTTAGTGACTGTTTGCGTCGTGAGAAAGCGGTGTTACCTGGACAATTCCCAAGAAGGAGCTGGACCAGCCGAACTTGGCGGCGAGAGGCACGACGGCGACTGACATTACGACCCGGTCAGCATTGCAGAGGCACATCACTAACGCCGTTAGAGCCACCACCGTGTACCTCTCCGGCACCGTCGACAACGCTCCGGCAATCTCACCGGCGGCGGCTTCTCTTCCTCCCATAAGCATCCCCCTCTCCATCCCTTCCGCCGCGCACCTAACCGACCACCGCCTCCTTCCGCCGCCTCTCTGCCTCTCCGCCACATCATGACCAGTAATCGTTGTATTCTCCCATTTAATGGACGGGATGGGTCTACGTAATCTCAAATTGATACTCGTTCTCCCTGGTAGAGGAATTAAATTCGGACGTGAACGCAAGAAACATGAAGAATTTGGTGAGTAGGAAGGCGCCAGGGAATTAGCCGCCATTGACGATGGGTGAGGCAGGGGAAGGGGAAAAGCCAAAGGGGAATGTACAAAAACAATACAAGGTTGGTAGCTAGAGACTCTGTTTTTTCTTCTTTTTTTTTTAATATGTATGGTGGCGAAGACTAGGAAAGGGGAATGGGGGATTATAAGAATTGGTGGGGGAGGTAGGTGAGAGGAAAGAAGGGCTTCATGAATGGAGGAAAGAAAGAAATGGTGGTGGTCATATGAATATGAATATGAATATTGATTGGTGGCGTATAGTCCATATATTTGTTTGAACTGAACTTTTTCCACATTTGACATTTTTGTCAATTCTTTTGATATTCAACATTAGTTTTTTTTATCAAATTCGAGAGTTGATTGTTAGTTTTGATAGTCAAGGTTATTGATCAACGGTCAACCCGCCATGTCATTGCCCAATCAGTATAAATAAACTTAAAAAACTCCTAAATTTCATAAATTCCACATAATATATTTCTAAAAAAAATTAATTTTTGTTTTAGTTTTTAATTTAATTATGATAATTTTTAGGAATTATGTGGAAAGTTGGAATTTTTTAAGTTTATTTATTTTGACTGGGAAATGACGTGGCGGGTTGACCGTTAATCAACGACCTTGACCATCAAAACTAACGGTCAACGCTCTGGTATGGCCAAATTAGTAAACTATAGACTGTAGAGTTAGTTCGGGTCACGGTGTTAAATACCAAAAGAATTGACCAGGATGTTAAATATGAGAAAAATTCGGACTAGATAAAAATATTAACCCTAAATTTTACCATTACTTTCTCCTCTGTTTTCTCTTAGCCTGGATGAGGGGTCAGATCTTGTCTCTCTTCCTATCTCTCTCTTCCTTTCCAAGCAGTCACTCCAATTTGACCGGCTGACTTTCTTCGATAAAATCTTTCAATTAGACTCGCTCCGACCACCTGCAAACAAGTATCACTCCATCAATGCGCCAGTGGTAGTGCTTTTTGTCTAGTGATACGCTACCACTACCACTAGTAGCGCTACTAGTAATTAATGGTAGCGGTACGCTACCAGATGAAAATTACTACCACTAGAGATTAACACACAAAAAAATCAAATACGGAATCTGAAAAATCACAGATTTGAAAAAAAAAAAAACAGAGGATGAGGAAAGGAGGAGGAATGGAGTGACCTCGCGGCGGCGTGAAGACGGTGGAAGAGGTGGTGGCATTGATAGGAGGACAAGATTACTCTCGCAAGAACAATACTAATTAATGAAACTATAAACAATATCAAATAGACGATCTCTGGAAAATTATACTCCATATGTACCCAAGTAATTTATTTTTTCCAGTCTCTTATTATGCTCATGAGGGTCCTATTTTAGTATTATTTTAAATCAATAACCTTTTTTTTACAAAAGATAATCATTTATATTGATTGGATCAAAAGATATTACATCCTAGAAACCAGCCAGGTCTGGAAATCAAAATAACGACTTGTAGCCGGGTGCAAAGCAAGAGCCTTTCTAGCCACCAAATGGGCTACCCTATTGTTACTCCGACCTACAAAGCGAACTTTAAGAGCACTATGACTAGTAAATATCCCAATAAGCTCCTCTAACACTGCCCCAATCTGGACATCATTTGCATCCCTCCTAGCAATTGTGTCAATGATAATCTGAGCGTCACCTTGGAAACACGCATCCTGGAAACCCAAGTCCAGACACCATGCCAACGCTTCCCGAAGAGCCAGCACTTCAGCCACCAACGGATTATCGAGGCCCGGAAAATGCACGCCACGAGCCAGAAGAATATTCCCAGCGAGATCCTTAAGCACAATTCCACCTACTGAATGAGACCCATGCATGATTGCCCCATCCCACATACAGGTAACTGATTGTACCATAGTGGCCAAACCCGGAGGCGGTTGAGTAGGATACCCAAAAACATGTTTTAAATGTTTTTCTAACTTTCCACTATGCCTTTTACTCTACCAATTAATGGTTGCAAAATGTCCACGCTACTGATTCATAACGCTAGGAATCAGCCAAAAAAATACCCACATTTAGTGGATTTGGGTTGAGATGTAGTGTAATGTTATCAGATACAAGTCAATTTTGATTATAATCAGAATAAAGGGGCATTGATAAAAAAGAGGGTCTACAAACTCAACAATGAATGCCAACTAGTTGACAAATAAACTTTCAACAAGAAAAAGGCTACGTGGCAGTACTTTTGGGTAGCTTCCTGGCAGCCAACTCGGCCAAACGCAAACAAGACAAGACGGCGATCGAGAAATATTTATAATTTTCCAACAACCACCGACCTCCTTCTTCTTACCAATTAGCCGAGCCCCCGGTATGTATTCTTGTCATCCAACAACCGGCTATTCGATATCTCACCTACTATTTATTTTTGCCATTCTCTTATTGTGAGACGGTGTTTCGCCGTGTTTTCGTTCTTGGAAAATAACCAATAGAATATTCTAATTAAAAAAATATAACTTCTAACAAATTTTTTGAAAAGTTAATACTTTGAAATGATTCGAACCTTACACTTAATGATTAATTAGATCAATCTTTCCTAAATATCCATATTCACCTACATTAATACATATACAGCCGGATGGATCACTTCAATAATATGAATAATAATATTAATTGTTTGAACAAAATTATATTTTTTTGGTACAATGAAAAAATCAAAATAATTCACTTACTAATTAAAAATATCACAAAACGACATACATCATATGATCCATGATATTTTTATTATTATATTCATGAACAAAAGTTTTTATCAAAAGTAAAAATACAACTCATTAAAATTAGTATTCAAAATGGACTTCAATGTATTCTTTGTTGTTAGAAATTAGTGCAAATTTTCTTTTTAATTTCTTTTTGATTGCTTCGCCGTAACAAATCTTAACATGGCTTCGTCTTCATTAATGAAATTTTTATATTCACCATCAATAGTCTCGTCCTTCTTCTCCTAAATTTCAATGAAAACCAAATTTCAATGTTAAAATGTTCAAAAACACGAAACATCAATTTTGTGCTAGTATGTGTGAGGAGAGTGTTGCGGTGTCTTCTCAGGCATCGGAGGTGCCAAAGAGCGATAGTCGGGGGATCCCTTCGAAACCCTGGGCATCGATATTTGGTATCTCTGAGGCCAACCGCCTTACATATTTTCCTCGGAGATCGTCAATGGAGCACTGTGGATGCCTAAAGTGTTTCGGGAAGCGGGAGCGGCTCGATTGAAGAACAATCTTGTTGGGAAATTCCTGCAAGATCCTCCCCCGCTCTATGTTTTGCATTGATGGGTAAACAAGCTCTGGGGAAGGGATGGGCTGGTTAGGGTTTCCTTGCTCTATGATAAGATGCTATTGATTCAGTTGCCTAATCAGAAGGTTTGTGAGGGGATTCTTGAGAATGGTCCATGGTTCTGGTTTAATAACTTGCTCTATCTTATGACCTGAGTTCCTTGTACCAGTTTTGAGGATTTAGGGAGGAAAACTCTGCCAATTTGGGTGAATCTATCCCAATGTCCCTCTTGAGTACAATGATTTTCAAGGGCTGAGTAGAATTGCTAGTTGGGTTGGTGTTCCTCTAGGAGTTGATCATACTACTCGAATGGGAGATATACATGGATTTGCTAAAGTTTTGGTAGAACTTATTGTCGAGAGTGAATGTCCTGATCATATTCTAATTTGGCCGGATGATGATTCTTCCATCCGTATAAGGGTCGCCTATTGTAACTTGCCTCCTGTTTGCCACGTCTGCAATCTATTTGGGTTAACTGGTTCTTGTCCAACTCATCAGGGGGAATAGTGGGTGGCTAAGGTACAACGGGTTCATGATGTTTCTACTCAGGTTCAAACAGTTGTGGAAGCAGTGGTGTCTCAGGCTGATGTAGTGGATAAGCAAGTTGAGAGTGGAAAGGATAAGGAAGTGGTGGTGTATGATGATCCTCAATTGTAGGCTATTTTTACCAGTCAATGCTTGATGGAGGCAGGATTGCTCCTCAGAATCTGGAGAAATCATTTCAGGTGGTGGCTGGGTCTTCTTCGCCTAAGTTTCCCTCCGAGGATGAATTCTAGAGAGTGGTTAATGGGGCTACTCCTAGGGTCTTGCTATTCTAAAGGCTCCATACAAGTTACAATCTCATCATTCAGTGTTTTAGGTAAGCTTGGTGATAAAGAGGCAAGCATGGTTCCGGAAGCTCCAAAGAAAAAGGAGACTAAAAAGGATCTGAAGAAGGGTGGGGGGAAGCTCCCAACTTCAAAACGATAATAAAGTAGATGTAGTAGCAGTTCTTGAAACTCGTATAAAGGCTGAGAAGGAGAAAGAGGGTGTAGAAGAGGTGTTTGCTGGGTGGGAGAAATGCCTAAACTGTGTTGATTCCAAATTAGGTCTTGTATGGCTATTTTGGGACCCTGGGATTAAGCTTCATGTGATAAAGCCTGGGAAGAATTATGTTCATTGTTTGGTAGAGGATGTAAATAAGGATAGCTTTTTCTTGACGGTTGTCTATGCTTCCAATGATGAAGCAGAGCGCCAGAGTACTTATAAGGAGATTGCAAAGCTGAAGGTTGTTGGACTTCCTTGGATAGTAGGTGGAGACTTTGCCGGATGAAACATCTAACCAGAGGCGCTCTACTGCTAGTATGGATGAATTCAATTTCTGAATTGGGGAGATGGAGTTGCTAGATTACAAAACTATTGGACCTCAATACACATGGACTAATAGACAGGTTAATAACCCTATAGCCAGGAAGTTGGACAGAGCGTTGGTTATTTTGGAATGGATTGAATTTTTCAAGGATTTTTCTATAGAAGTTTTACCTGTAAATTTTTCTCATCATTGTGGGGTGCAAGTAAGTACGGCAGCTCCAGTTAAGTCTCTGCCAAAACCCTTTAAATATTTTTGAGTTTTGGGCTGAGCATCCACTTTTCTGGAAATTGTTGAGAATGCTTGGAAGTTTGAGATCTCTGGGAAACCTTTACAGATTGTTCAGGGCAAGTTGCGTGAGGTTAAAAAGGCTTTAAAGAAATTCAATAAGGAGGTGTATAGGAATATTCCAGATCAAGTAAAAGGGGTTAAAGTTGAATTG